TACCATTTATGTGAAAATGCTAGTTCTCTCCAAATTGATATACATATTCACACATTGTTGCTGGGAGTTTAAATTGGTGCATGTACTTTGGAAAACAATGTTGTTATCTTGTAAAGTTGCACATGCAATGTGCAATTTCAGGTCTGGGTATAGAGAAATTTATACATTTATATCAGGAGACAATGTTTTTGAGAATAGTCACACCATTATCGTGTGTATTATCTCCAAGTTGAATACAATTCAGTGTCTGTGAACAGTTGAGTACATAAATAAACCATGGTATATTCATACAATGGAACACTACTCTGCAGAGAAAATGAAGGAACTATACACACATAAATATGTAAAACCTACTGCTGAGTGAAAATGCAAGACAGAAAAATATACATACTAAGAAAACATTTATATAGAGTCTGAAACAAAAAACTCTGAAATACTGATATATCATTATGCAGTAAAGCTATAAAAAAGGGGAAGGGACTCATGAATATTAAATTAAGAATCTTTGTTACACTTGAGGGGGCAGAAGGGGAAACTAATGAACAGAGGCGTTCAGAAGCCTTTATCAACATTGATAATGTTCTGTGTTTTAAAGTTGGTGATTGTGGGACTTCCCTGATGGTCCAGTGGCTAAAACTCTTTGCTCCCAATGTAGGGGGGCTGGGTTTGATCTCTAGTCAGGAAACTAGATCCCACATGCCCCAACTAAGAGTTTGCATGCTACAACTAAAGATCCTGCATGCTGCAACTAAAGGACCCATGTGCCGAAACTAAAGGTTCCTCACACCTCAACTAAAAGATCCCACATGCAGCAATGAAGATCCCACATGCTGCAACTAAGACCCAGCACAGCCAAATAAATAAATATTAAGAAAAATAAAGTTAGTGGTTCTTTCATGGGTACAGAATACAGTCTGTTTCATTATTAAGTTACTCATGCCTCCCTTCCCCAGTTCCTGTTACTGTCCTCTACCCCCTCCTCAATTCTAATTCAGTCCTAATGCCATAAGTGATTCTGGAGAGTGGGTGCTAATTAAAGATCCCCTTTTTTAAAATATTTATTTTTTATTTATTTTATTTTTGGCTGCATCAGGTCTCAGCTGTGGCACACGGGATCTATTGTTGCGGTGCGCAGGCTCTAGAGCACGTGGGTTCTGTAGTTGCAGTATGTGGGCTCTCCAGTTGTGGCCTGTGTGCTCAATAGTTACAGTGCACAGGCTTAGTCACCCTGAGGCATGTGGGATCTTAGTTCTCTGACCAGGGATCGAACCCACATCCCCTGCACTGGTAGGCGGATTCTTAACATTGGACCACCAGGGAAGTCCTAAGGTCCTCTTTCTTTTGATAATTATTATATTAGTAAATATTTGTACAAAATATATGGAAAAAATAGAAATTGAACGTGTTGATTCTTTATAGAAAATTAATCTCAGTAATACTGAGTGTGCTTTTTAATGGAATCCATTTTAACTGTTTTTCTTTAGTTGCTTGTGTTTTTAGTGTCATATGTAAGGATCCATTGCCAAATCTATTGTCATGAATTTTAACTCCTATTTTCTTCTAAGAGTTTTTGGATTTAGCTATTACATTTAGATCTTTAATCTATTTTGAGTTATTTTTGTAATGTGATATGAGGTAAGAGTCCAACTTTATTCTTTTCCATGGGCTTATTATTTGTCTTTACCACATTTGTTAGAAACTGTTCTTTCTCCATTGAATTGTTTTGTCATTCTTATTGTTAGAAGCTATTCTTTCTCCATTGAATTGTCTTGTCATTCTAAGTTAACCATACTTGTATGGCTTTATTTTTGGACTTCCTATTCTATTCCATTGATCCATACGTTTACCTTATGTCAGTACCACGCTGTTTTGATTATTGTAGCTTTGTAGTGAGTTTTAAAATTGGGGATTATGTGTCCTCCAACATTGTTCTTTTTCAAGATTGTTTTGGCTATCCAGGGTCCCTGGGAATTCCTTGTAAACTTTAGGATCAATTTGTTCCGACAAAAGGCAGTTGGAATTTGGGTAGAGATTGCAATGAATCTTTTCACTCTATTGATAATGTTCAAGGGGACACTATCAAAGGATGAAAGGACACTATCAAGGGAGTGAAAAGACAAGCCAAAAAATTGGAAAAAATATTTGCAAATCATTATTTGGTAATGATCTATAATCCAGAATATGTAAAGAATATTTACAATTCAGCAACAAAAGCCAGTCACTGAAGAACAAATACTGCATGACACCTAAAATAGTCAAACACACAGAAGCAGAAATTAGAAAAGTAAATACCAGGGACTAGGAGGGAGGGGGAAATGGTGAGTTGTTCTTCAATTTGCTTAGGTTTCAGTTATGCAAGATAAAGTAGTTCTAGAGATCTGCTGTACTACATAGTGCCTGTAGTCAACAATTCTGTATTGTTTACTTAAAGCAGTCTACAGATTCAATGCAATCTCTATCAAATTACCAATGGCATTTTTCACAGAAATAGAACAAAAATTTTTACAATTTGTATGGAAACAAAGGACCCCGAATAGCCGAAGCAATCTTGAGAAAGAAAACTGGAGCTGGAGGAATCAGGCTGCCTGACTTCAGACTATACTACAAAGCTACAGTAATCAAGACAGTATGGTACTGGCACAAAAACAGTAATATAGATAAATGGAACAGGATAGAAAGCCCAGAGATAAACCCACACACCTGTGGTCAACTAATCTATGAAAAAGGAGGCAAGAATATACAATGGAGAAAAGACAGCCTCTTCAATAAGTGGTGCTGGGAAAACTGGACAGCTACATGTAAAACAATGAAATTGGAACACTCCCTAACACCATACACAAAAATATACTCAAAAAGGATTAAAGACCTAAATGTAAGGCCAGACAGTATAAAACTCTTAGAGGAAAACATAGGCAGAACACTCTTTGACATAAATCACAGCAAGATCTTTTTGGACACCCCTTCTAGAATAATGAAAATTAAAACAAAAATAAACAAATGGGACCTAGTTAAACTTAAAAGCTTGTGCACAGCAAAGGAAACCATAAACAAGACCAAAAGACAACCCTCAGAATGGGAGAAAATATTTGCAAATGAAGCAACTGACAAGGGATTAATCTCCAAAATATACCAATAGCTTATGCAGCTCAATATCCAGACAAACAACCCAATCAAAAGTGGGCAGAAGACCTAAATAGGCTTTTCTCCAACGAAAACATACAGATGGCCAAGAGGCACATGAAAAGCTGCTCAGCATCACTAATTATTAGAGAAATGCAAATCTAAACCACCATGAGGTATCACCTCACACTGTTCAAAATGTCCATCATCAAAAAATCTACAATCAATAAATGCTGAAGAGGGTGTGGAGAAAACGGAACCCTTTTACACCTTTGGTTGGAATGTAAATTGATACAGCCACTATGGAGAACAGTATGGAGGTTCCTTAAAAAACTAAAAATACAGCTACCATATGACCCAGCAATCGCACTACTGGGTATATACCCTGAGAAAACCATAATTCCAAAAGATGCATGCACCCCAGTGTGCATTTCAGCACTATTTACAATAGCCAGGTCGTGGAAGCAACCTAAGTGTCCATCAACAGAGAAATGGATAAAGAAGATGTGGGACAATGGAATATTACTCAGCCATAAAAAGGAATGAAGTTGTGCCATTCGCAGAGACGTGGATGGACCTAGAAACTGTCATACAGAGTGAAGTAAGTTAGAAAGAGAAAAACAAATGTTGTATATTAACGCATGTATATGGAATTTAGAAAAATGGTGCAAATGAACCTATTTGCAAAGCAGAAATAGAGACACAGTTGTAGAGGACAAATGTATGGACACTAAGAGAGGGGTGAGATGGATTGGGAGATTGGGACTGATGTATGTACACTACTATGTATGAAGTGTTTGGCTGGTGAGTACCTACTGTATAGCACAAGGGGGAAAAAAAGAAGGTACAATCTGCTTGCAGGACATATATTAAGTTAGCCTTAAAAATACATTACAGTATACATTACTTGCAGACAAGTACTGTTTGATTCCACTTCTACAAGGTACCTAGAATAGTCAAATTCATAGAGTCAGAAAGTACATTGGTAGATGCCAGGGGCTGGGGGTTAGAGGGAGTGGGGAGGGAGAATGGGAAGTTAATGTTTAAAGGGGACAGAGTTTCAGTTTAGGAAAATGAAATATTCGGGAGATGGATGATGGTGAGAGTTGCACAACAGTGTGAATGTACTTATTGCCATTGAACCATACAGTTAAATATGGTTAAAATAGTATGTTTTATATCATGTGACTTTTACCACAATAAAAACATTTAAAAAATGTATCAGGGTTAGGAGGATAGGAAGAAATAGGCATCAGTTAAAAAGAACCTGAACACTATCTATTAGAAGGAATAAATATGCACAAAATTAAAAAAAATTTGTTGAGAGTAGTCTCATGTAAGTGTTCTTATGACAAAAAAAATGGGACAGAAGGAAACTTTTGAAGATGATGGATATGTCTATTACCTTGATTTTGGCGATGATTTCATGGGTGTATGCATTTGTCCAATCTCATCACACTGTATACATTAAATATGTAGAGTTTTTTTGCATATGTTATACCTCAATAAAGCTTTTTTTTTTGAAAAAATGATTTTTCTTTGAATCGCATGTGTGTTCTGTCCAAATGCAATAGTTACTTATTGTAATAAAATAGCAAACTGAGACTAAATAAATATTGTTGAAAAATTCATTAAAAATAAAAATATGGCTGCTTTTAAAATATTACTTGTCAAGACTAATATGTATTTTAGGGAAAAAGATAGATATTGTGAAAAATAAAGCACATCTCACCATATGAAAACTGTAAGTAAAATGATCCAACTATAATATCTATGAATAAATCATCTTTTAAGAGTCACAAAACCACAAAATGAATACAGAATATTTTCAAGTAATCCACAGAATTTATTAATGTTCATGCTGTTTTCTTTATTCAAAGGTCAATAAATTAGAGTTAGAACTAGAAGGTGCCAAACAAAAATTTAAAGAAATGACTGACAGCTATCAGAAAGAAATTGAGGACAAAAAGCTATTAGAAGAAAATCTTTTGAGAGAGGTAGGAAAAACTAAATATGTTTGAGAAGTTGTTATACTAAAACCCTATATTTGTATGTTTGCATTTTAAGAGAAAAGTAATAATTCTTACTTTTAATATTATGATTCTTTAGAAGATTTAATAAATTTATACTAGGGATAATTAATTAGCTTTTTAAATAGAAGCTAAAAATATCATTGTTATTCTAAGTATTTGAGTATTGGGTAGTATATAATCATTTTGAAAAGATTAAATGATCTTTACAGTGTTATACTGTCATTCACTTAGTAGAAGACCCTAACTAAAATAAACCAAAACAATAATGTATTTTCTACTTGGCTTTCCTAATTTCCTGGTGTTTGATTTCTGTATTTTAACTTAAATTTAACATTTAAGTTAAATTTGTTTTTTGTGCATTACTTTTAAAAAACTTTAAATTTATTTGATAGGTTGAGAAAGCAAAAGTAATAGCTGATGAAGCAGTAAAATTACAGAAAGAAATTGATATACGATGTCAACATAAAATAGCTGAAATGGTAGCACTTATGGAAAAACATAAGGTAATTTTTTTCCTGTTGTGTAATGAAAATTATTAATTGGAGCCATATTTATGCATAAAAATGGTAAAATATAGCATTCTGATTTGTCAGAGAAAATTATTGTCTATGCAACAATGACTAATCATAGCTGGAATACTCTTGATCTCTCATTTCTCCAAGTTCAAGTCTTAACCACATGAAGCTGAGCCTGGGGGTCACTTCCTTGAGGAAGTCTCTCCTTATTGTCTTGATGGATAAACGTAATCACTCTTTTCCTCAATTTTCATAGTAGTCTCTTACAGACCCTTCCACCTTGTAGTTATTTAAATACATACCCAGGATACGTATTTAAATAAATATAATATAACTATAAATATAATATTTTTATCCTTTACCTGTGTCTAACACATACTAGGCTAAACAATAATAAATAGACGAAAGACAATGTTTGTTGTGTTTGTGAATGTGCTCTATTTTTTATTGTTGTTTGAAAGTAATCTTTCTCTTAGGGAATTAAGCCCTATACTCTTCAAGATTTGGAGAGGAAGTGGGCTATACCTATCAATTAATCTTTATAAGTTGTTGTTAGGATATTATTATGAAGTAACCAATGAGGATTTAAAAAAATATTTTAAGTAATATTGTGAACTCATAGATTTAAGCATATTTCGTATGTCTTAATCCAGTACAGTTTTGATCCTTGTTGACACTTAAATTGTCCCAACTTTGGCCAGTGGGAGCCTCTTTGAACTGGTTGGCAGGTCCCTTTGATTTGACCCTAATAATCTGTGACAACTTTCTTGCTTTCTGTTATGACAAAATGTTCAAGACTCATTTTGTATTCCCTGCACAAGATCTGGAATCAGCCGTTTTTTGAAGAGGTCCTGTGTTTCTAGCCTTTTTATAAATTACGAAATTCAGTGTCTCTAATTTAAAAAATTATTTCTTGCTCTTGGGTTATTTCCAAGACAGTTATCTATGTTTCATTGTTCTTATTGTTAGAATTTAAAAATGTAGTTGAAAAAATTAAAAAATAGCTCAGATATCTATTACTGAATTCATAAACATCATTTTTTATAAATATTAAATGCATAAGGATACCAGTCGTATTAAAATGTAATCTTTTGGGCTTCTAATATACTTAAAATGGTTTCTCTTTTTAATATAGCACCAATATGATAAAATTGTTGAAGAAAGAGACTCAGAATTAGGACTTTATAAGAGCAAAGAACAAGAACAGTCATCAGTGAAAGCATCTTTGGTGAGAACAAATAGCAGTAGAAGCCAATTTTCATGTCAGCATGGCTGGTAGTAAAGAATAATAAATAAAACCATAATTTTGAACTATAGAATCAAATAATCATAAATCTGAAATGGATGTTATAGATCTTATAGGTAGGTGGTTTTCTAATCATTTTTTTGGTAAAACGAACTCTGTTTTTCAAATGAAAAGTTATAAACTCCAGTTATGAATAAGTTTTGAGCTCTGATTGAGGTTGGGAAAGGAGGAGTGAGATAGATTGGAAGAGAATGAGAAGGAGAGATATACATAGTGTTAAACATTTCTTTAGAGCAAACTATACAAAATTTGTCTAAATGAAATATTTAGTTATATTCAACTAGGAGCCTTCATATCAGTAGGGTTTTAAAAAGTGTATATATTTCATGAGTGAATTTATTTCTCTGTAAAACTAAATTGTTTTTGAAACACTAGTTTGAATTTTTATTGTCTTAAGAAATATATGGATGCACTTATAAGCTTCATGTTCCTTTTTCTTTAGGAGACTGAACTATCCAATCTCAAAAATGAACTTTGTTCTGCTAAGAAACAACTTGAAATAGAAAGAGAAGAAAAAGTAGGTTTTGTGGCATTATAGATAAAGTAATTTTAAGTTTTAGGTATAACTTAAGTTTTTATAAACATGTTATGTTAGAAAATAATAGGATAAATTTGAGTAAGGATTAAAAATATAATTTTCCCCATTAGCTTTTATTTCAGAAGTATTTAGCATATTCCCTTGTTTAAATATTAAAGATATATAAATATAAGTATACTTTAAGAGTAGGAGAGCTTTCAGATATAAATATTTGAGAAATATTATTTCATATATTATAAAGTACTTATGTATTTGTATGTGTTTTTTAGCTATTGATCATGTTTCAGAAAAAAAATAATGCCTTATATTTGTATAGTGTTTTGGAATTTACAAAGTGAATTGACTCGCACTTTAAAATGACAAATACTTTTTTGTTTCTATATGACAACTCACTGTGCTGAGTATACTACTTATATATAATTTAATCTTTATTACAGTTCTATAAACAATACTTATTATTATCTCCATTTTTATAGAGGTTAGCTTATTTATTCAGGATCACATAGTAAAAAAATAGAATGGCTTAGAATTCAAATCTAGGTTTATTTTTCATGATTCCAAATCCTCCTCCCTAATCACTCTGCAACATGCCTAGGTAACATGCAATTTCAATTTCAAACCTCTGTGCATTTGTTCACTTTGTTTCCTGCATTTAATTTCTTTCTTCCTTTCTCCACCTATGGAAAACTTCACATATCTTTTATCTTGCAAAGGTAAGCTGACTGTATATAAGTATTCTCATAGTATTTTGCTCTAATATTAAAATAGTTATGTCACTCTGTGCCCCATTATGTTTCAAGTTCCTCAAGGGCTGGGGTTATGTCTATTTATCTTTGTCTTTCCTTTATTTGAGCATAGTGCTTTGAAAATTTTGTTTTTGACAAATGTTTGTCAAAGAAATGACTAAATGGCTTTTACTTCACCTGTAATTGTAGGATACATATTTACCTTTATCCTACTGTTTTAGTAAAAGAGGAATAATACTTCCTTGTATTAAACCACTCCTAATGTTCTTTCTTCTAGGTTCTTTTTCCAATTTTATTGAGATATAATTGACAGCACTGTATAAGTTAAGGTGTACAGCATGATTTGCCTTACATATATTGTAAAATGATAACCACAATAAGTTTAGTTAACATCCATCATCTCATATAGATTAAGAAAAAGAAAGACAAAGAAAAAAAAAGGTTTTTTCCTTGTGATGAGAACTCTTAGGATTTACTCTCTTAGCAACTTTCAAATGTACCATACAGTAGTGTCAATGATAGTCGTCATGTTATACATTACATCCCTAGTACTTGTCTTATAACTGGATGTTTGTGCCTTTTGACCACCTTCATCCAGTTCCCCATCTCCCCAAACCCTGCATCTTGTAACCATAACTCTAATCCTCTTCTCTGTGAATTTAGTTGTGTTTTGTTTGTTTTTTCAGATTCCACATATAAGTGATATCATATAGTATTTGTCTTTCTCTGTCTATTTCAGTTAGCATAATGCTCTCAAGGTCTAACCATGTTGTTACAAATGAAAGGATTTCCTTCTTTTTACACCTGAATAATACTCCATTGTATATATATACTGCACTTTCTCTATCCATTCTTCGTCTGTGGACACTCAGGTTGTTTCCATGTATTGGATGTTGTGAATAATGCTACATGGGGGTGCAGATACCTCTTCAACATAATAATTTCATTTCCTTTGGATGTAGTCTCAGAAGTAGAATTGCTGACTTGTATGGCAGTTCTATTTTTAATTTTTTGAAGAATCTTTATACTGTTTTCTGTAGGGGCTGAACCAATTTACATTCCCATCTGTAGTGCACAAGGGTTCTTTTTTTCCTCTGCATCCATGCCAGCATTTATCTCTTGTTTTATTTGATAATAGCCATTCCAACAAACATGAGGTAATATATCTCATAGTACTTTTGATTTGCAGTTCCCTGATGATTAGTGATGTTGAATACCTTTTCATTTACTTGTTGGCCATTTATATATCTTCTTTGGAAAAATGCCTACTCAGGTCCTTTAGCAATTTTTAAATTGGATTGTTTGGCTTTTGGCTATTGAATTATATGAGTTCTTTATATGTTTTTGACATTAACCCTTTATCACATATATGGTTTGCAAATATTTGGCAGTGTTTTGCATAGTTGGGGAAGCTAGGTGCTTACTTTCATGGTCTCACTTTTCCCCATGGGAAAAATTGCTCACTTAACAGGTTCTCTCTGGGAACTGTGCTGTACTGTCTTGGGAGAAGGGGTGATGTGGGTAAAATGAAACCATTCTTCTTATCTTCTTCAGTGTGTTCAATCTGGGATTTTTTTTTTTTTTTTTTTTTTTTTTTTTTTCTTTTTTGG